GTTTTTGCTAGGGAGGACAAACGTCATGACTAACCCTACCCAATAACACGTAATAGAATGCTTGAAATACAATTTTTCGTAACAGGTGAATGAAATGATTCGTATCGAGTAAGTACATGTGATTGTGCGTGGGAGTTAAACAATAGGGAAATGATTTTGAGGTATATGTTAGACATGTTAGAGGGTGTGGTACGAGGAATGAGACGAGGAATGAGACAAACAATGAGCATCAGGCGATGGAGGGAAATGGATTTAAAGTAGAAATCAGATCGAATGAATGAGAGAAATATTGGAAGGAGCGGGAGAACTTCATAAGAATGTGGAGAAAGAGAGAGAGGGAGTGTGTGTGTGTGTGTGTGGGTGAGGAGTGTGTGTTTGTGTGTATGTACGTGTGTGCGTGTGTGTGTGTGTGTGATGTTTGTGTTTATGTATGTAAAAGTGCGTGGGTGAGAGAGAGATAGAGAGAGAGTGTGTGTGTGTGTATGGTGGGTGTGAGTGTGAGTGAGGTAAGATGTTGAGGTAGAGACACGTGCAGTCGCCATCCGATGACCTTCATCCGCCTTCAACTTAATCTCTTCATCAAATAACATGCCCTTAGGCTCAAGTCTTACAAAGCGGTGATTTCTGAAACACGAGACAATTCAACTAGCAGAAAGCGTTTTAAGGTGCTATCTATCATTCTACATGATTGTGTTCATCTGTGATTGACCTGCGACTAAATCTAAATCAAGAAATGTGATGGTTCATTGAAAACGTTCAGACAAGTTGATGAACAATTATCAAGGAAAAAATGCGTCTTATAGTGCATGCATTTCCATGGAGTCGAGGAATCCATTTATTATATACGCAGTGAAATATTCATTCGTTCTTTTCTGTCCTACTTGTAGCTACTTGCTCCCTCCAGGCGCGTACGTAGAGGGGGGGGGGGGGGTTAAACCTCTCCCCTTTGATATTTGTTATGTGTGTATTTTGGAAGAAACCCCCCCCCCCTTTGGTAATTATTTTTTTCTAAGAAAAAATAAGAAAAAATAAATAAAAATGATACCAATGGCTGACCTAAAAAAAGGTGACCCCCTAACGGAGCAAAATGTCAAATTTTCAAATTTCGAGACCAAAAAAAAAAAAAAAAAATGTCCTCTTACCACCCCCCCCCCCTCCCCCCCCCCCCCCCGCTTATTCATCGGCCGGCTGAGTCGTTGCGATTTCAAAATGTTAACCCCCCCCCCCGCCCCTTGAAAAAATCCTGCGTATGCCACTGGCTCCCTCTATATAGAAAACAATGCCTAATCGGTGACCATTGGTCCCTCATGATCCTCTTTTTCTTATGTTAATTGAGAGCTGAGTTGATGAGATAACCACCTGTCCAGTGACCTTGCAGTGTGGTCTAATACCTCCTATAAACTAGTACAGATATACGCTTTAACTTACTTAATGCTCAGTGAACAATTATGGGAATTCTTCATTTCGTTGTTTAATGTTGAATACTACATTAACTATAGGTATAAACTGCCACTTACATGACGTTGGGCCTATCCGGGGACGCGCTACACATACATTCCCTCACCCTGGGTTGCTGAAGATGCTTTACGAACGACATCAACGCCAGATTGAAAAGCATTACTATTCATTCTCATATACACTGAAATCAAGTCATGGTTCACAAGAGATATTATCAAGAAACACTTTCACAAGCTACCTGCATAATTCTAATCATAATAATTGCACCTGAAAAAAGCATTATCCGCAAAGTTAATATATTCATAGAAATTACCGATAACGATCGTATGTGCATTTATACCGTACACGGCCGTGTACCCATTTCCGTGGTACTATTGAATGATGAATTTTTTATGTAGATTTCACAAATTTTCCATCGCAGAACTTACTGATGGGGCGTCGCTTTTGTTTGAATATATAGAATTAAGCAGGTGTAATGTGCTTTTACTTTTAACGATAATCATGATAATTACATATTATTTGTAGATATTACATAATACAAGCGAATTCGTTATTGGACCAGGGGGGTGTTTCATAAAGCTGTTCGTAAAGTTACGCATGACTTTACGAACGACTTGTATATGTAAAGCCAAATGGGATGCTCAATAATTATTGATTATTATTTATTAAGTTGAACTGTGCAGATGTAGATTAACATTCTTATTATAACAACCATTTTTAATGCAAAGTATATGTTTTGCCAGGTTATTGGAAATATCAGAAAAAACTTTGGGCATCCTATGCGTAACTTTACGAACAGCTTTATGAAACACCCCCTGGTCCAATAACGAATTCGCTTGTATTATATAATATTTACAAATAATATGTAATTATCATGATTATCGTTAAAAGTAAAAGCACATTACACCTGCTTAATTCTATATACTCAAACAAAATGAAAAAATGAAAAAATGTAAAAGGGGATGGCACAAGGTCTCACTTTCTCGCATTCTATCCATCCCATAATTTTTTAAGGTGGTGGTGGTGGTGGTTATTGTACCTGACTGCTAAGAAAGCATAAATGCTTGTTAGTATTAAAGCAACCAGACAACCGACGGCTTTAGGTCCTCTCCGAGGGACCTGGTAATGAGGATTAACGCCTTACTAAAGGGCACTAACGCATCGCCTTGGTTTCGAACCCAGGTCACCGGATTACGAGATCACTGCTCTACCGACTGAGCTATTGCGCCTCCTCAAACAATAAAAGTACCCCTTGAAATAGTGGACCCCCTACCGACTACGCTACCGACTCTTTCCACCACATCGACTACTGTTATGGGTGTAAAAGTGTCATAATCACTCCGCTCAATCAAACAGATATCACATTGAGCTCGCTATTTGACTCAATGTACAAGTGCCTCAAGCAGACCGATCTGAACGGTGTGGCGTGTCCTGTATATTGCTCAATTTTGCAACCCCACTCTTCTTATCATTTCCTTTTCATAGTACATGTAATTAACACCAATATATATTTGGATAAGTTATTGCCCACTTTTTGTGATATAAGGTATTATACTATTCATAGCAAGAGCTTCAAGAAGAACGTCGATAATAGCAAGGTGTCGATACATTAAGTGCTTTCAGATGAATAAAAAAATGATTAGATTATTAAATCACCTGAATAATTATTTATGAGTTCTCAAACATCACAATAACAACCGATTTTCTCCCATTCACGATGAACAGTATGTCATTTAATAACATGACATATTCGAAGCAATTCAACGAAGATAGTTTTGATAAAATGTCACTTTCATTCTGACGAATCAAATTCACTCCTATGGTGAACAATCTCTTACCCGATATGCATTTACAGTGTAGAAAACATCAAAATTAAAGGTTTTAAAAAAAAAAATAAAATACATCACCAAAATACCTCTTACATGCCTATTACATTGAGCTATGAAACAAAATGCTGGAGTGGAAAACAGCCTGCATATCCGAAGAATGCGCTAGCTGTGATACATTGAATGATAGTGTACGACTCATTACAGGTTTAATTTGCTGTCGCTCTAGATTGTTGCATGCGGCACGTAACTCATACATTATGGATGAGACTGGAATGAAATAATTCATTACAGTTTACAGCACCATCCGACTCGCATCGCATGACGGCCCTGGCGTGACTTTAACACCGATATAGAAGAAAATAGATATGAAGAAGATAGAAATATGATAATAACTAGACCACTTTAAGAGAAAGTTGAGTTCTCATTTAGAAGGAAGAAATAGTCATGTGCTTTCCTATTTCAATATTTGTTATTCTCATATGGAAGAGTATCATGGTATAACTATCTCATGAAAAGGATTGCTCTCGAAGTGACGAGAAATGGTTTACAACTTGGACCAAAGTCTGAGGTTACGTGTTTATGTCCTCGCATGAACCCGGTATCTGATACTTTTTTACATTTCATTATTTGTGATTTATCATCATTACAGGTCTTTTTATACTATATTCGTTATTGTAATTGTTTTTTGTCATGCAGGGCCCGCTGGAAGAACAGTTTCATAACTGAAGTGGCTACCCTGGGTAAATCAAAGTTATTATTATTATTATTATTATTGTTTTTTGTCATGATTGTTATGATTGTGACGGTTATCATTATTATCATCATTACCACTGTTTTTATTGTAATAATCGTTGTTATTCTATTATTATCATCGTTAGTAGTAGTAGTAGTAGTAGTAGTAGTAGTAATAGTAGCAGCAGTAATAGTAGCAGCAGCAGAAGTATCATCATTATATGCCATGGAAACTGATAATTTTTGGAGAAGTGTCACATACACAGAATACTCAGATACAGTATGATACATTGTATTATTCTCAAACTTGGTAGAAAATTCAACGTCCCATCGCCTGAATGCCTTCATTATGATTCAGTAAAATGGCGGACCCCGGATGGTCTCAAGGGACACATAGAGTACAATTATATTTGAATAGAGGGCGGTCGATATGTCGCCTATGATTATGTGGACCTACATTTGTTTAATTCATGGCGATCGCATTCCAAGAAAATGTATTTAAAGAAATATATTTCAAAATATATAATTGTGTTCAATATATTTCGTGGCACATGTTAAATATTTAACCCTTTTCCGTAATGTTTGGTCGATTTTTTTCTCTCTCGCTATTTCACCCCCTCTCTCTCTCTCTCTCTCTCTCTCTCTCTCTTTCGTTCTTTTCTTTAAAGATGCTTTATACTGTAGTTATGAGAGAGGTGAAACAGTAACATTTGTACATTATGAACCATCTGACCATCCATGACATATCATAATATACAATAGAAGCAGATTTAACACTGGAGGTGTAAAACGGTATCCTTCTTTTGACTGTTTCATTCGTAGATGAAAATGAGTATGGATGTGTTATTTACACCATCTTTGCTTTACATATTTTCTCTTTTCGTTTACTCTAGACTTATAAATAGTAGAATACCCTCTTTCAATTTTTTTTTTCTGGGTGTAGGGCTTTTGTAAAATATTTCAAGAAATTAATGAGCTCACCTTTTAGTACAGTATAGAAGGCACGTCTCGATTGTCATTTTACGAAGATCAGTAGTAAAGGCTCCTTTTAGAGTTCGCTTCTTCGGTTGTATTGCATCGGGATAACAGCCAACGTAGGAAGCTGCGAAATGCATTAAAAATAATGAGAAAAACAATTATGAGCACGCAGGAAAATTGAAGCTACGAAATGAATGCGTAAATAATGAGCATACAAAGCACCAACGGTGAATTATGACAATAATGATTTGATTCTACTTTGGTTATATCACGGGGAAATACAATATGAAGGTTTGGGGCATCGTATCGGTAATTAACTTCATATCACAGTCTACAGTATGCCAACCACCAACAGACATCACATAGCAACAGTGATTTAGCAAGCTTGCATTACGTTGTTTTAAGTAAGAAGGGAGTTGCGATCTGCCCTGCCGTCCATGGAAGCACAACATACCTATATACATGTTTGATAAAAAGAAAAGAGCATAAAAACGTACTAATGTATATAAATTACATTAGGTGGAGGAGGTTTCCTTCGGAATTGAGCAACGAGGGTTATAAAGATTAGCACCCTATTCCTGAAAATTCAATTATCACCCTGAAAAAAGGCGATAACCATTTTTTTCCTGCTTGTCAGCAATATATGAGAGGTGGCAGAGATACCGAATAATATTTGGTTTTACTACATGTGTTTTTTTTTTTATTTATTTATTTATTTATTCGTTTTATTTAAAAAGGGTAACTCTCTCAGTATTAATACTGTTTTTCTGAGAGGCCCTGTACACAAAAAGGGATTCAGATACATGAAATAACAAACAATGTTAAAAGACGTATACATTATTTTATATATAGCAGGGTTATTTGTTTGTTTTGTTTATAGTTCTTAAATAACCCGATAATATACAACAAAACATAAAGCAATATTTGTCCAGCTGTTACAATATGAATTAATGCTTATCCTATTTAATATAATATAAACATATAAACATCAGGAATAAACTTTTACATGAAAAGGAAAGGACAAATTTTTATGAGTGGAATATAGTAATATGAACCCTTCTTATCAAACTCTCAAGTTTAGACACTTCTGGTAATGTAAGCCATTTCATGAACATCACCACGTAAAAAAGACTCATTAAAAAATCCACTAAAATGATAATTACAGGTTAAATAGCATGCAAGGAAACACCAAATAATACATGCATTAACTACTTAAAGTAGAAAAAATATTTTAATAACGACTGCTGCATTAATAAAGTCTAAATAGCATTGCAAGGAAATACCAAAAAAATACACGCATTGACAACTGATGTAGAAACACGTTTGTATTGACGATTGATGCATTATTGATTGACATGAGAGTATCAAAATATGCGTGGGGTCTTAAGAGACAGAGTGTATTCTTCTCAAGGTTCATATATATTCTCGAGGTGAGAAGAATACCGCCAGCGACACTAGGAATTCAAGGATTTCAAAACACAGCGTCTCGATTCATTAAAATAGCATACAACCCCAAAGCTTTGATCCGAGTGTTGGTTTCCCAGAAGAGCATTGAAACATACTACCCGTCATAGTATAGATATATTGACTGCTATGCTTCGAATATCAAAGCCGTCCATATATCTGTTATATACCAAATTCACAACAAAATCTTCCCCGGCATCACATGAAAACTGTGAAAAATAGCATGGAGCTTTATCTTATAGCTCCATGGTAATAGTGTGTTCATACAAACTGCTATAACAATGAATGGTTTTAGACGTAATGTAAATTCCCATGCAGCGCTATATGACATCATGCACTTTGTTTAAAAGCAGTGAGATCCGATGTGAATCATTTCTCAAAGGTTGTTGTTGTTTTTATTTCCGTATATTGAAGTCAGATAAAATACATACAAAGTAATCATACAGAGAAAAAGGACAAAATATGGCTGGTAGCCCATTTTCAGCTGCAACTATATTGTTGCTGCTAGTCTTAGATGGGGCCAGTATAGGTCAATTATGAAGATCTTTATGATAACTACTTGTTTAATATTATTTTCTGGTTATCAAATGATAATCCGCCTTCCAGAGTTCACCATATCGACAAGGTTGTATCAATACTTCGTACTCGGACTGAACATTTACATTACACAGAGCAAAAAGTAATCCATCATAATGTAATTTCGACTTGCTGAAACTAAATTTTTAGGTAAATTTAAGACAGCAGGATGAATGAATAATGCAATTTAGCACGGATACGTGTTGGTCAATCCATGCTTTGCATACATGTATGGCACCTTAAAATCACACGAGGCGGAGCGAAATGGACTGTTAAACAGAATTTGGAAAATGGAACGTGAAGGATATTATGGCATGTTTATGACTTGTATTACCACTGGAAATATGAAAGAGATGAAGAAATGTGAGGAGAAATGGAGGACATAGGGAAAGATGAAGAGAGAGTGGAAGAGAGGGGAGAGTAATAAAGAGAGAGAGAGAAAGAATGATGAGAGGGAGGGAGAATGAGGGAGAGAGAGAGAGAAGAGAGAGAGAGAAAAGAGATGAGAGAGCGATGTAATGGAGAGCGGGGTGAGATAATTTTGCACACACAATAAAGAAGATGTATGTACATGCATGAAGAGCGTTCCTGGTACATGTAAAATGCATAGAGTACGTACGCTTGTGCTGTGCCATTGTCTTAGTGCAAAACCCCTGCCCCAATGGAGAGATCGGTAAAAACATGTGCAGAATCGCCACCGACAGAAGCAACAAGAAAGCTATGATCACAAACACAGCGAATGGATGATCATAGGCTACACAACAGACAGTATCTCTATCTCCTCGACGAGTCCTTCTCTCCGTGCCTGTCTTCATGTTGACCGTTCTTCTGTATGAATACATGACGTACAGTGAATGTCTTGCTTTATAGAGTGTGCTTCAGAGAGTGCACTTTCTTTTGCACGTGATTCCCAGGAAGAAGGGGGTAAGCGACTAGACGCTCCAGGAAATGCATCATTACTTCGTTGAAGGTGGCTCGACAACAGATAGATATCACACTCTATCGGTGCCTTCAGCTGTGGCAACACAAAACCCTCTTTATTCAATTGCCCCACAGCTTAAAGAGGTAATTAAGTAACGGTCGATGTCAATCCAACATATAGAAAAAAGAGGAAATTCGATAAAATATTGGTTCCTGATCTTAGCACGTATTGTTCAATTATCCATCATAACCCGACGAGCATAGGTGAATCCATTTGAAGCCCACACGATTAGTATTCGAAAGATTTATAGTTACTGCGACGGCGAGGGGTCCATATAACTGCCAATACACCACGGCCACTATGCTGAGGAAAATGAAGTCCAGAGTACCATCATAACATACTAATTAAGTGCCCTCTCGCTTGTCAACGATTGGGACGACCGTTTTCCTAATTAATATCCTTTTTAATGGCGCAATAGATGAACCACCGTCAAAGCAAATCTGGCGAAATAAGCACGATTGTACGTATTGTATAACAACATCCCCCCCTAAAATAACATATGATGAATTAAAATTGACCTGCAGAAATGTATATTCGTAATCTGATATATGGAAGCGAGTCCATCATGCCCGTATATTTTCTATTCGGACTTTGGCTTTATGTCAACAATCAATGGCAAAGAACTAATATAGTTCATACTACGCACATGTGCCATCCGCTCGTTGATGAACAACTGGGGATTTGAGTTTGTGCAAAAATTGAGCAATTATGGGTTTGATTTAGGAATGAAGATTGAGAATTCTGTCACCACGGTTTCAAGGTTATGATGCATAAAAATAGCATTGATAAATATTATCCCATTTATCATCAGGATGAAATATATAGTTCCAGGAAAATGGTTTGTTTGCGTACTGTGTTCAATGACACTGTAAAGAGCAGGGTACTTGTGAAAGTATATCAACAGTTAACAACTAAATTATTCATACCCTTACCAAGTTGTGCAATTTGTTAAGTATGAAGACAATTTATTCGTCCCGATTTATGTTTCTTGTTGATGTGACATATTGAAGCTTACATCTTAAATCATTCAGCAATTGCCAAAAAACGTCAAATTGACTAGTAAATCAAAAAAAGTTATATGTAAATTTAAACCGTGGCAATTAAGCAATTAAGGTATTTATTATTGTTTATGTTTTATTTGTTCATTTACAGATTGAACAACACTTCCTGAAACTTCACGTCATTAAACGTCATGGTATCCTAACACAGCATTTAGCAGGAGACGGTTGGTGGGTGAGGGTGTTTGTGCTGCATTAACGTCAACAATCATCATGCAGTCAACTATCTTCTTCCGTTCATACTTAAATGGTTTGCTTTTGTTTAGTGCTCTGTAGATTGGTATAATGCTTATACAGTCAAACCTGCTTTAGTGACCACCTGTCTGGAAAGACCACATTTTTTGTTTCCCTTGAAAATGGTTTCTCATTGAAACATGTAATAAACTAAATAAAGGAACCTGCCTAAGACCACTTTTTGTGTTTACCTTGGGCAGTCGCTATAGACAGGTTTGACTGTACCATTTAGTGCTCTGTAGATTGGTATAATGTTTATACAGTCAAACCTGCTTTAGTGACCACCTGTCTGGAAAGACCACATTTTTTATTTCCCTTGGAAATGGTTTGTCATTGAAACATGTATTAAAGGAACCTGTCTACAAAGACCACTTTTTGTGTTTACATTGGGCGGTCGCTATAGACAGGTTTGGCTGTACCATTTGGCTATAGGTTGGTATAACGCTGCTCTGTAGATTGGTATAACGCTTATACCATTTAGTGCTCTGTAGTATACAAATATACACTGTCTTGAGAGGTTCTGGTTAAAACTATGCGCAAGAGGTGACTCCAATAGTACTATTTGCTGAGGGGTGCATCCATTTTTATTTTTTATTTTTTTATTTTATTTTTTTAAAATATTATTTATTGGGGATTTTTTTTTTTTTTTTTTTGAATTTAAAAAAAAATTCAATTTTTATCAAAAAAAGATTTTAAATATTTTGTTTTCATTAAATTAAGATTTGAAAAAAAAAAAAAATCACAATTTTTTTCAACTCCCAAATAGTACTTTTTCAAAGCAACCTAAAAATAGATTAAATATTCCTGGTCATGTGACGGGTAATGTGACGAGCTCTTAACCAATCAAAAGCCAATAAATTTTTGATGCATGACATAAATTGGTATAACGCTTATACTTTGTAGTGCTGTGTAGATTGGTATAACGCTTATACCATTTAGTGCTGTGTAGATTGGTATAACGCTTATACCATTTAGTGCTCTCTAGATTGGTATAACGCTTATACTTTGTAGTGCTGTGTAGATTGGTATAACGCTTATACCATTTAGTGCTCTCTAGATTGGTATAACGCTTATACTTTGTAGTGCTGTGTAGATTGGTATAACGCTTATACCATTTAGAGCTGTGTAGATTGGTATAACGCTTATACTTTGTAGTGCTGTGTAGATTGGTATAACGCTTATACCATTTAGTGCTCTCTAGATTGGAATAACGCTTATAGTTTTTAGTGCTCTGTAGATTGGTATAACGCTTATACTTTGTAGTGCTGTGTAGATTGGTATAACGCTTATTCCATTTAGAGCTGTGTAGATTGGTATAACGCTTATACCATTTAGTGCCGTGTAGATTGGTATAACGCTTATACTTTGTAGTGCTGTGTAGATTGGTATAACGCTTATACCATTTAGTGCTCTCTAGATTGGTATAACGCTTATACTTTGTAGTGCTGTGTAGATTGGTATAACGCTTATACCATTTAGTGCTGTGTAGATTGGTATAACGCTTATACCATTTAGTGCTCTGTAGATTGGTACAAAATGTATAACGCTTATACCATTTAGTGCTCTTTAGTATACAAATATACACTGTCTAGAGAGGTTCTGGTTAAAACTATGCGCAAGAGGTGACTCCAATAGTACTTTTCACTGAGGGGCGCATCAAAAATTTATTTAATTTTTTTTTTTTTTTTTTAATCCTTTTTTGGGGGAATTTTTTTTTTAAAGAATTTAAAAGAAATTACAATTTTTATCAAAAAAGATTTAAAATATAAGATTTGAAGAAGAAAAACAAATCACAAGTTTTTTCAACTCCCAAATAATTCTTTTTCAAAGCAACCGTAAAATAGATGAAATATTCCTGGTCATGTGACGAGCTCTCAACCAATCAAAAGCCAATAAATTGTGTATGCATGATATAAATTGGTATAATGCTTATACTTTGTAGTGCTATGTAGATTGGTATAACGCGTATACTTTGTAGTGCTGTATAGATTGGTATAACACTTATACCATTTAGTGCTCTGTAGATTGGTATAACGCTTATACCATTTAGTGCTCTGTAGATTGGTATAACGCTTATACCATTTAGTGCTCTGTAGATTGGTATAACGCTTATACCATTTGGTGCTCTGTAGATTGGTATAACGCTTATACCATTTAGTGCTCTCTAGACTGGTATAACGCTTATACTTTGTAGTGCTTTGTAGATTGGTATAACGCTTATACCATTTAGTGCTCTGTAGATTGGTATAACGCTTATACCATTTAGTGCTCTGTAGATTGGTATAACGCTTATACCATTTGGTTCTAATGTGTATACTATGTATGGTTTAGGTATTTTATCTATCTTTTTTATTTCTTATTATTTGATAACTATATTGAATATTGTCCAAAGGATTAAATATGACATTTGTAATTATGTTAACTGTCAATCAATTGGTGATTTAAACAATAAAATAAAAATCAAATGTATGTATGGTTGAAGTATTTTATCTATCTTTTTTTATTTCTTATTATTTGATAACTATTGAATATTGTCCAAAGGATTAAATATGACATTTGTAATTATGTTAACTGTCAATTGGTGATTTAAACAATAAAATAAAAATCAAATGTACCACATGTGCATAATGAATACAATTTTCTGGTCTGCTTTAATCGCTTTGTGTTTTAAGACAAGGTACAATGGACAGAGAGTGAATACATGGTCATTGAAAGAGAGTGAATGCATGGTCATGAAGAGAGGTTGAGAGAAATATCATTTTGTTCTTGCACAAGATGGGAAATGAAAAGGAACAAATACCATGGTTTCTACTAATTTATGACAGAGATTTGTGACTTTATGTTTTAGAAAGGGCTTAATAAAACAAGGATTAAGTACCATTTTCTGTATTTTTTACAGTCCATAAACGAAGAAATAGTCCAGAATGGAATAATTTCTTGTTCCGTCGTATATATAGAAAACAGTGAACTTCTACAGCCAAACTCCTTCTATAGCTCGTCACTTTAACATAATAAATCCTTAAGTTCAGTTATGAAATATGTAAGAAATAATTACAGCGTGGGTATCTTCTTAAATTGTTTGTATATCAGGATACCAGGATATTTGATGAAGATGAAAATTGTTTTCAATTTTTTATTTTTAAGGGTACAATATTACCTTGAAAATGAATATGGCATTTAGGATTAAAGACAGTCATCCCAAAAATGATATCATTCTCGGAATCATCTCACATATTCTGCAGGGTCATAAAACAATACTTATTGTATACAGACGCTTATGTTTCAGACGACACCATCATGCAATAGCGTTTCATAACTACAGTACAATGACTAATATAAGTTTTTAACTTCAATGTCCAATTGTAATTTTTGTATGATAATTACAATCAGCGATACTTCTCATTAATTTTGTTAATGTGAAAGGTATGCGATTAATAAATGATAGTACCTTCGACATTTAACAAATATATATACTGGGCTTTTAGACAGTTCAGCTGTTATTTAGTGTATTATGTACTGCAATAGAGCCCTGATATATAAACAGAAATTATGTTCTATCTCTCTCTGTCAAACTTTCAATCAATATCAATGTCTGTCAATATCCCTCGAACACTCTAAATGTTCTCAATCATCTTCATATAAGAGGTATATGTTTATGTTTGGGAGTTCTTATTGGACATTTTCTACAGATTTTATCTCCTAAATTTCTAATCAAAAGGAGAAAGGTATGATATCAAAGATAAAGTTGAGTTCTGGTCATGCGATTGCATTGTGAAAGAAATCGATCAGAAAAGGGTTGATCATCTAGCATATAATTATTGGTGTGTACTGCCAGGTTCTGGAATGATAAGACATTTGGCCAAGTCTTGGTGAAGTTACAAGCATTGTACACAGATTTATATGGGACTACAAGAACATGTGGCATAAAAAATCCGTCCCGATTGTTATGATGTTATATGCCATATTTAGAATATTAAGGCATTTGAAGAGCCACGCTTTTTAGGGAACATTTTTTATCTGATGTTCTTCGACACTTGCATAATACAATGATAACGCTCACAAATTATTTACCTCTTCCCAGAACGCAACTTTTTCTTTAAAAATAAAATGTCTTTTATCGCTTTGTTTTGTAAATCTAACAAAAGACACCTCTACGACTATG